CCATCCCCTCTCCCATCTGTGGAAAAACTGTCTTCACAAAACCGATCCCTGGTGCCTCAAAAGTTGGGGATTGCTGTTTTAAAGTATATTCTAAAATTCAACCTTTGTACCAGTTCATAGTAGCCATGTCACTCAGACTAGTTAGACTGTGCCAAAAATAAACAGGTCGCGGTCCCTGTCATCAGCACTGCCAGGAGGGAGGCTGCGGGCTAGGAGAGACAGAGACCTCTCCCTCCCCACGTGGCACACCCCTCGGGGCAGCAGGCTGCCCAGGTCCCAGCTGTCACACAGTTCACCAGCCTCTCAGATCAATCTGGTCACTGACAGCCTAGACACTGTTATGTGCCGGGAACTTTTTGTTTGTTTGCACTTCCAGGGTTCTAGCACACAAAACTATCAGATAAAATTCCATCTGTGGTTAATGAAAGATCTCCTTAAACGTTGCATCACTGCTGGACAGAAACTTGAGCTCTGATTAAACTCTGGGGGCAAAGTCCCATCCTACAAAATAGAATGCCGACCTGGTCCTGGAAATAATTTTGCAACTTTGGAACATTAAAGCACTGAAAAGAAGCATCTTATGGAAGGCTCCTAGCACCCCGGAAGGAGCCACCAACAGCCGCTTTAATAACATCTTTAACCTTCCACTTCCGTCATCCATCTGGCTAAGCACCAAAGGGAAGGAAAGGGCTGAACCCGAGTCATCATGCTAAAATGTAAGGGTTGGAAGACACAGGCGGCAGCGTCTAACTATAAGCCAGCTTGGAACAGAATCAGAACAAGTAATTTTAAAAAAATTTGTGAGCCCTTTCAGCTATTGGCTGATGCCTCTGTAACATCTACCCTTCTTCAGACTTTTGGCAAAAGAACAAGTTAAAAACAAATGCTTTCAGTTTGCTTAAATGACAGCCCTTGGAAAAACCCAGCGACTGATACTGCACACTGAGAACGCTCAGGCTGTTCTCCCCAGGATAGGGCTGATCAACAAAGCAATTGGAACAAAATAGCCCTTTTCAGACCGTAAAATTAAAAAAAAAAATCAAGTGAAGGTAATTAAGAATCTAAGGGAAACGATGGCTCAGCGCTAGCACAGATCAATCCAAAAGGAGCTCAAGAAGTATCTGAGTGTGTTACACGTGTGTCTGTGATTAAAGGAAAACAAGCCCCACAAATGCCTCCCTTGTGTTTTCTTTAACAAATGTCCACTCTATCAGTTCCTATGTGTCATTGGATATGCCATAAATTCCATCGATTATTAAAACACTGTTATACAACAGAAACTGAAGCTAATTAAAATAGAAAACCATCTGTACTCAATTGAACTTTATCCTAAGCCCTATAATGTTCATTTTGTGTTTGGTCATTCCAACACAATAGCAACTTTGCATTCCAATGCCTCTGAATAATATTAAATCATCTTTTCCTTTTCGTTAACAATATTAATTACACAACTCTCCAGATGTTAAGGTGTCACCAAGAAGGCCGTGCTCATGTAGGCAAATGGTTCAAATGGGCTGCCATAAAAGACAACACTGAATGTCTATGTAAAACAGCTAATTTTGCCAAATATTTAATTGGAAATGACAAGGCAACATAAATATTCGTCGGACTGACAGCTAACTGATTTGGTGTGCCTTAAAACTAGACTAATGTAAACAGAGGTATTTCAGCTGTGATTCTGCATTCATAATTGGTTTAGATGTCTATACGCTTTCCCTGGGGCTATGACTTTAATTAGAACTGTGGGAGACAATCAGCCAATCCCGTGCAGGGTCCAGGCAGAGCTGGGAGGGTCTGGCTGTTTACCTTTTTCCTCTTTCTTCTTTATTGGCAGGATGCTTTGATAGTAGCCCTGCCAGGAGCTTATTAAAAAACTCTGTGTAAAAGGGATTTTCATTCGAAATCATTTAACTGCCAGAGCCTTTCCCTGGGACGCCTACCCTTTCCCTGTTTCCCACTAGGACACAACAGATGACTGAGAATACTTTGCCCTCGCTCTCACACGGAGTTTAGTACTGGAGAAGCACCTAAAATGAGTCAACCGCGCAGCTCAGAGGCTGTCAAGGGAGACGAGGGGAGGCACCAAGGCCCTGAGCCCTCTGTGGAGCCGGCCCTGGCCACCGGGCACCCCATACACGCCAGACTCCACTTCCCTGCTGTGCCACGGGCTCCTCACGGCTGCTCACCAAGGTGGACCTCTGGAAGACTCTGCACTCGCATTCACAGTTCATAGTTTTGGAAAGGAAAGAAAAGCGCTCCAATTGAGCACCTTTGTTTCTGCGTTAGTCTATGTTTGTGACAGATAACAATCACCTTCATCTTGGGGAACTGGTCCACAACATACTGCACCTTAACCCTTTTACATCCCCTTCCCTGCCCTTCCCTCGTCACTGCCCATCCATAGATCCCTTTCCTATCTCCACGAGGTCTGCTTTTCTGTTTCCTATCACCTTTTATTTCGCTCTTTAGATAATTTGTATTTTGCATTTCACATAAGAGAAACCATGCAACATTTAACCTTTTGGGGCTGATTTACTTTACTTAGTACTATGATCTCAAGGTGCATCCATTTACTACAATGACTCAAAAGTATCCTTCTTTTTGGCATACACACACACACACACACACAATTTTCTTTACCCATTCATCTGTTCATGGGCTGCTTCCATAGTAAACATGTGTTAAATCATGAATATGCATGTATCACTATAATATGATGTCTTTGGCTCTTTTGGAAAGATGTTATAAAAACTGAGTCACCAAAAGTAGAGACTGTAGACAAAACACAGCAAAATCCATTTCAGCTTTGCCTTTGTCCTAACAAGTGATGGGCAGCATAATTCTTGGACATTCCATGGGAAGGGGACCAAGAAGCTCATTGTCTTAGTCTCTTTGCAGAGGAGGCCCAGGCATGGAACTTCCTGCCTGCAAACAGCTTGCCCTTCATTGTAACTTCCTACACAGCAGCAATTTTTTTTTTTTTTTTTTGGTCTTTTTTGTTTTTATCGGTACCAGGGATCGAACTCACGGCTGCCTGCTTGCAAGGCAGGCGCTTATGCCGCGGAGCTAAATCCCCAGCCCCACACAGCAGCAATTTTACAACTCCAGAGACTTCAGACCAAGAAGCACACTGTCTTCAAAAGATCGAATGCTCACTTACGGTGAATCCATGGAAGCACCATGCAGCCACTTCCTTCTCAGCTCAGAATTTTCTCTAACAGGAGAGAGGGCAGGTGACTCTCAACCTCACAGCACCAGGCCCCTCAGCCTGGGCACTCCTCACAGAGCATCGCACTGCTCCTTCCAATACTGATGCATGCAGCAGGTCCTGCACCCTTCCCAACTGCCCCATTCCAGGAGGACAAGCCACCTGGCTTTGCCCCTAAAGGAAGCAAAGGTACCTGCCCCTTTGAGAAACATTCCTTCACGTTCCACAGAGTAAGTGCAAACAGATATAACCACAGCACATGCAATCAAGAGAGACAATGCATTTTAAAGTGTCCAAGCACATGAGAGTCCTGTAATGAGCACTAAAGTCCTTTCCTTGTCAGGAAGGAATAGTGAGATTCAATTAGTAGAGTATTTCATATCTCTTTCCACCTACTGATCTATCCATCCCTCCATCTATCATCCATCCATTCATGCATCTGTCAGTCCATCTGTTCATCTGTCCATCCACCCAGCCATCTTTGCACCTATAAAATTAGCTCAGAAACACATCTGAAATATGTCTGTCTTTTCATAGCCAACTTACAGGACGGAGCTCCATGCACTTTAAATCAGAAGACTCACAGGACTGATGCCCAGAGAAGGGTAATTCATTGCAGTGTCTAGGGATACAGTGCCTCCCCATCACCTGCAAGCTCTGTCTATACAAATGAAGCCATGATTGTCAGTGGGTGGCTGGGGCAACACCAAAAGCCCATTCTTCCATGGTAACTCATTATAAATGTCCTCTGGGACTAGACGAAATACGTTGTGCACCAGCTAGAAGTCCTAGATGAGCATTGAGCATACTGCTTTTAAGACACAATGATTCCCATTTTTAAAAGATGGTTTACTAATGGCCGTATTTTGGGGGGATTACTACTGGCTCTCATGTGAACTTCATTTCCCCTCCCAGCGCTCACTGTCCTATGGTTTATCACGTAATTTTCTGTCCACGCATTGTCACATTTTCAGTCAGTCTTAGCACTGGCTCCCCTGGTCCTGATGTGGGCAGAACCAGCCACACAGCATGGATCCCAGAATGAAGAGGTGCATCCCAGGCTCTCTTGGCCATCTTCAAACTTTTAATCTTATCATCTACCTTTTGACTGATATTTGCAAAATACTAATTTTCAAATATATGCAGACAATATTACTAACCAAGACATATGAAGTGTATTATAACTTCAAATGTTAGCCTCTTTTCAAATTGTATTTGTTTTACCCTCAAACAGAGTTACATAAATTTTTGGCAAAAAAAAAAGTTATATAATTACTGCCCCAGTCTTTAAATTCATGGTAACTATTATGATACAAGTTGTGACAAGCATAGAAACATCCGTCTGACTTCTAATTTCATTATTAGAATACTTGCTGGAATTGCGTAATGGCTTTGCTTTAAGGGAAAGATACATATATGTACGTCCTGTATTTATTGCATATTTTATTGATATTTTCCTTTTTATTTTTCTCAGTACTAGAAATTGAACCCAGGCTGTTGAGCATGCTAGGTAGGAACTCTACCAACCAGCTACACACCCAGTCCTACTGAATCTACACTGACACCATGTTGCTTCCAACTAAAGTCAAGAATTTAAATTTTCAAGGCTGACAGTGGACCCCAATACGTGGAGCATTTAGATGGCCCAATATGCTGCTGTACCTCTGTCAGGCTTTATTCAAAGCTGACGTGGAAAACCACGTCTAGATTCACATTACAGTCCAGATTTGTGTATTTTCAGGACCACAGACCCTAGTGCGCTATCCTCAGGGAATCCTCTTGTCCCGTGTACCTGGGGGTCCATTCTGAGGAAGGTGTGCGGGCCTCTGCTGCTCAAGGTCGATCTTTTAAAGGTCTTGCTATGGTGAAAATGGTAGAAATCTTCCAGGTTTCCAATCTGCAAAACAGAAACAGGATATTGCCCATTAATACCATTGTGCACATAGCTTCAAAAAGTCTTTCCCACAGATATTCTCCCTTGTCTGAGAGGCTTACTCTGTTCCCAGAGGAAACAGACCTCCCTGTCCCAATCATGGTACCACTTGTATCTCTGGCACATGGTCAGTGTTTATGAACCGGAAGGTGGATTTTAGATAGTTCTTTTCAGATAAACAACCCTAGGTGATGTTTCCAATGATGCGTATAATCCATCAAATCTGGTGTTAAGTTAGTATCATTTAAAGTTTGTCCTATCTTGGCCAAGTTGTTTGGATGTGGATTAGTGTTCCCGCTGGGCCAAGCAGCCCTGAAGTAGCTAAGTTAGTGTCAAGTCAAATCTACACCAAAATACTCACTATAAACAAACCCTGTGCTCTCTGTCCCGTGGGTAAACTGAAATATCTAAGAACCAATACTCATGCTCAAGTGGTACAGGGAGCCAAGGACAACACTCGGAGCCATCTGCTTTGGGATTGTGCAAAGGTCAGATGAGAACAACCGAACCCCTGGGGTGTCCCAACTTTCTGCCAAGGGCAGGTCTTCCAGGCAGATTTCAGCCGACAGTATCTCAACTCAGTTACCGAAACTGATCTCAAAATTGCTATTGTCTTGCCTCCCAAGTAGCTGTGATTACAGGTGTGTGCCACCACATCATGGGTTTCCAGGCAGACGGGCCCACTGCAAACTCTCTGCTTCACTAGCCATGTGATTTTGGGCAGGGACATTAAATGCCTACAAATCTCAATTCCTTATGCGTAAAACAGAAATAAAACTACAGTACTTACCCCTTGGACATGTTTAACTAAAGGCTACCTAATACACAGCGCACCACTCCCACCTTACTCAGAGCCATTCCATAACCTGACCCGAGAGATGACTGGCCCAGGCAGAAACTAGAAGTAATTGGGTACTGGAGTGCACATCTTTGCACAAGAGGACACAACAGGTGTGCAAAAGAGAGCCCACCACCCTCTTTACCACCTTTCATCCCTTCTTTCCAGCAATCCTGCTGTCTCCTATGCTTAGGTTTAGGAGATATCCCTTATTCTTTCAGTGAAGAATTTCCTTCTTCACTTAAGCTTGCTTTCATGTGTTTCTGTTACTTACAACCACAGATACCAAGTACTATAACAGCCATGTAGGTCAAAGCGGTGCAGATCAATGAAGTGCCTAGCTTAATGCCTAGCACCTAGTGGATGCTCAACAGATGTGGCTGGTTCTGGTTCTCTCTTCTTCTTCTTCTTCTTGTTCTTGTTCTTCTTGTTCTTCTTCTTCTTCTCCTTCTCCTTCTTTCTCTCTCTCTCTCTCTCTCTCTCTCTCTCTCTCTCTCTCTCTCTCTCCCTCCCTCCCTCCCTCCCTCCCTCTCTCTCTCTGCCATCTCTTCAAGGCTCCTCCCCTCCCCTCTCAAGGTCTGGGATGCTTTGCATTTTGGCCACATGTAAGTCTGCATTTGACCTCTTTCTGCTGAGTGGCTTACCATCTTTGAATCTTCATTTCCTTGCAAAAGTAAAAACTACCACCTTACAGGGATGATTGCTTCAACATTCAAATGAGATATCTATCCATGAAAGAGCCGGCAGAGGGACCAGCAGGTAGTAAGCATTCAACACGTGATTTTCTGCAATTTTGGTTCTCAGTTCATTTTCTACCTCAAGACATCACAGACCTCATTATTTCTGTCCTATTTTGCACACAAGTACTTTTCTTTCTCTTTGTACAGGTAATTCACCTTGCTCATTTCTTCCACAAAGTTAATTACCACCTATGTCCACAAACACTCCTCCTAAAGCATACCAGACTGCTATTTAGCCAAAGAGCCCTTAACCTACAACAGCATTTAATCAAAATCTGCAAGGTGTTATATAACTTTTCCTCTTTTAACTCTGGGCATACAAGTCAATTCCTATTCAGGAACAGTGAGAAACTAAGTTGAATGAAATTTGCTGGCAAAGGAGTGTATTAATTGCAGAGCCACTGATCCTCTGCAGGCTCACAGCAAGGAGGTCCTAGAAGCTATTCAGGTAGCATTTGGGGTCTGGGCAACTGAGCCAGTTACAGGCAGCCACCCTGTCCCTTGAGGCAAGTCTGGAAGCCACTGAATCCCCTGCCTCTGGGCCCCATGATCATCCTTGGCAGTGACCCACAGGGCCCAAGTGGATAGGACTGAACAACTCCAGAAAGAAACAGATGGTTCTCACAATGCTGGCCAGGCAAACTGTCTCTGGAGGAAACAGTAGCCAGCACCATCTCTGTTTAGACACTTAAACTCAGCCGAGGGGGCCACGGGTCTGGTCTCCCACTGCAGCGGGGAAGGAAACAACAGGGAAGGTCACCCACACCTATTGCAAAACTAGCTGGAATCTGAATACTCTAGTGGAGCCATGCATTTGTCCTTCTGTGCCTGGCTGAGTTCACTCAGCATCACATCTTTAAGGTCTATCTAGGCTGTAGAATTGTGTAAGAATCTCCTTCCTTTCTAAAGCTAAGGGGTATTTCACTGAATGAATATGCATCCATTCATCTGCTAATAGATACTTGGGTTACTTCCTGCTTCTGGTTAATGTGAATAACAGCTGTCAACACAGACATGCAAATATTTGTCCCTGCTTTCACTTCTTTGGCCTGTAGACCCACCTTCTTTATTTGGTTTTGTTGGAACACAGGCACACCCACTCATTTGCTGTGCAGCTGCTTCCTGGTGCTCCTCCTTCCCGATCCTCTAAGCCCTTCCTGGGTTCTCACCTGACTTGCCACAGCAGTCTCAGTTCTAATCCCACCATCCCTCAATTTGGGGAACTAGTGATTCCCAGCATGGGGTGTTCTAACGAAGAAAGAGGACAGGATGCTAGGTTGAGCAGTCCACAGGCTAAGGTGCATGGGACATGCCCACTGGCCTGGTTCAGCATGGGAGACATCTGTGTTCTCTAGCACTGTCTCCTGGACCTTAGTTTCCCTATCTGAAAAATGGAGCCATCTCTGTGGAGAAAGATGTCCCTGGCTACTGTTTCCTCCAGAGACAGTTTGCCTGGCACAGTTGCCCAGATGAGGAGACTGAAGCCTAAGGAGGTAAAACCCAACATCTAAAACTCGGAATCAACAAATTACTTATTTTGCTCAGACAGGCAGGTGACAATATTTGTCTTAAAACCACATACAGGCACAGAATATGGTTTATGATGATTGCTACACTGCGGTCATATCTCTAGGGTCTCACTGGAAGATGCTAGAATAATAAGAACCCAGTAGTCCCACCTATCAGTGTGTGGGGGTGGGGGTTCCAGGAACCTCAGTGCACAGCTGAAGCCACACACAGCACCACACCCCACACACTCTGTGATTCTTCCCTGTGCATGCAGTGAAGTAATTTATAAATCAGGCATAGTCAGAGATTAACCACAACAACCATCGAACAGAACCACTGCAAAACTCACTGTAATAAAAATTATTTCAAACTTATTAACTGTTTAGGTCTGAAACTTTCCATTTAATATTTTTGAACTGAGGTTGACAGTGTGTAACAAACTGAAATGTGCAACCTCAAATAAGGGGGGACTACTGGAGATGGAGAGGAAAGACACATAAACAGCTTTTATATTCCATGAAATCAAATGAAAGAAATAGGTGCTCAGACTCAGACCCAAGGGCTCATGCTTTTTTTTTTTTTTTGGGTACCAAAGATCGAACTCATGACCACAGGCTTGCAAGGAAGGCACTTATGCCGCTGAGCTAAATCCCTCGCCCCTGGCCTCATGCATGTTAAGCACGAGTTACACCTCTGAGCTGCAACCTCAGCTCAGAAATATTTTTATTTGATCTTTGTATTGATATTTAAACAGGTGCTCCTCTCAGCCAGGCCACCTGGCTATGCAGGCTACTGCTTCTTGGTGGGACCTAGGATGGTGTCCTATGCCAGGCACCGGCTCTGCCACTGTGGTCCCTCTCACAGGCTCTATACAGCACTTCTCAGGCTGGAATCCGAGCAGCCTGCCTTTGCACACAGACCGCGTGGCTTCCCCAGAGACTGCTGTCTTCAGGCTATGGCAGCGTCCTCTCTCTTGCCGTCCTTGAGGACAGGGAACAGTCTCCCCATCAGCCTGGGCAGCCTTCCTGCCCTGCTCAGCTCTGTGCCCTTGCCTGCCTCCAGCTGCTCTTCATGAATGACTCTGACTGCTGGTATGCGAGGTACTGTTCTATTAAGTCTCCACATAAAACTTCCGTATGTGCTTGCTCTCTTGCTTGCCCTAGAGCCAGTCTGAGCACACCATCCAGGACAACAAACACTGCTGAATATCGAATGCTCATGTCTTTCAGCTCAACATTGATATGTAACGATACACATTGGTTGATAAAACTGGTAACATCATTAAAATGCCATTAAAAACCTTGCTAAGGGTTCTCAACCAGAACATTGAAGAAATGAGATCGAAGAACCCCCAAGGAGGAGAGTCAAACGTAGTTTAAGTCCCCTTAATGGATGCTGTGTTAGGCATTTTAAAAAAATTTAGATAATGTATGCTCTTGGCCCAGTATAAGGAAGGTGTAAGAGGGTGTGGCGCTATCGGGGAGCAGCAATTCCCCCTCCTTCTCCTGTCCCCAGCCAGAGTTCCCAACTTTCACTGAGTGCTCCTGGCTCACCAAGAGTAGCTTCCTGAGAGCTCAGAGAGTTCAGAGGCAGAGAGCTCAGAGTTCAGATAAACTGCCAACCCTGGAGGCCTGATGTCCTTCTTGTCCTCCCCTTACAGAGGGGGAAAGACAGCTACAGAGCAAGACCACACATCCGGTCGACAGCTCAGTCAGGGATCAAAACCATTCGTCCTTGGCTCTAGACACAGTGAAGGTGGGAAAATGCCCAGGGGCATTCTGGGCATCTTAACAGCAGGGTTTTTGCACACAGGCCCAAGCACCCCAGTAAGAGCCCACTTTCCTTCCTTCCAAAAAGGAAATCACTGGAGATATGCT